TTTTTTTTTTTTTTTGGAGACAGTCTCACTCTGTTGCCCTCGATAGAGTGCCCTAGCATCACAGCAACCTTAAACTCTTGGGCTCAAGGGTTCCTCTTGCCTCAGCCTCCCAAGTAGCTGGAACTACAGGTGCCCACCACAACGCTTGGCTATTTTTTCTTAGAGACGGGGTCTCACTCTTGTTCAGGCTGGTCTCAAACCCCTGAGCTCAGGCAATCCACTCGCCTTAGCCTCCCAGAGTGCTAGGATTACAGAGGGGAGCCACTACATCTAGCCAGTATAGAACATACAGACATGATTAATTTGCAGCACATTAATGCTTTGTTCAGGAGGGAATTCTTGATGGGAGCTCGCAAAGAATTAGTTCTCTTCGAAGTATTAAATTCTTTCCTTAAAGCAAAAAAATCTTATAATCATGAAATAATTTACCAACCTTTTCTTTGTAGATAACATAGATGCAAACTTCATCCTAGACCTGCCTAATTTATCACAAATTCTAGACTGTGTATAATTTAGGCATTAAAATATATAAGACAGGAGTCTGTGAATTCAAATTATTTGTTCACATAAGTAAATATTAAACCTGGCTCATACCATCAATACTTATGTCAAAGTATTAACTCAGACTATGACCCAGCCTGTTCACAGAGGTTTAAAGCTGTAAGAATCCAGTGCCTAAAATTCTTTGACAAATATAGAGTACCTGATAAGTATTTTTGTATAATTCTTGTCTTTTATTTTTGAAGAACAAGGAATTGAGCCTATTCTGAGTTAAATATTCTCAGGACGTTTTCAAAATGAATATAAAAGTTAAATGATTCGCACGAATATAACAATATCTAAACTAATGAATTTGCTAATCCCTTTTCCATTCTGATGTGGATCCTTAGCATGCTTTCCTAATATAGAAAAAATTATAGAGACACATAGAATTGTGTGTTTATGGTAAGCATATATATGTTTTGTAGGCACACAGATTCCAAATGCTCCATATATAATCAGCTAAGCGCTGCGGGATTATTTAAGTAATTCAAACCATTCCTGCTGTTTATCCATTTTTCAACCTTTGGATAGAAATACAAATAACATTAATTTTTTTCCTTCAAATCAATATCAAAATTTTTAAAAAGACTTTTATGTCATTTCCAAAATAGTTCATTGCTCTACACCTTGAAGGACTTACTTGATGTTTGAGAAATGACTAACATCAGTTACTAATCAATAAATGCACACTCAATACATTTAGGACACTGTTAAGACATAGATACACTGAGATCTGGATCTTTTGTGTCATTTAAAGTAGGGGAAAAATTACCAAGTGACATGTTTAGTAACGGGAAAATCTTTCAATGTCACCTTTTGAAATAACACTTTCATCCCCAATTATAGCAGCAAAGATCATTAGTCAAAAGTGATTTAATTTCCCCTTTGTATCACTGGTCATGATCTAAGTGAACGAGTCTATCACTAGAGACCACCTAAATGTACCTCTCTGGGCGTGACCTTTGACAAATGCCCTTGTTCTTTCAATGGTATCTTCTTGTGCATGTCTAGTCTGTGGATATAGTTTTTAAATTCCTTAAATTTATTTTTTTTTCTTCATTTCAAAAGTAACTGTCAACACAAGAATATAGGTCAACTTCAAGATTTCCAATGCCATCCTCTGTAAAGCTGCAACTTGTTTTGTTCAGTAACTATAACCTTGAAGTTATCAGCTCATGAGTGTATCACTTGTTGTAGACAATTACATTTCCTCTTCCGTTAGGGAGACTACCAGCCTTGGCTTTTAGACACTTTCATAAGTTATTTTAGCTTACTGGTTGGCATTTTATGAGCTTTGGGGGATGAACAATTTTTGTGTACTAAAGACAGATACATAAGCACAGTACAATTCATGGAAATCACAACTGCTGTCTTGGTAAAGGGTCTCAGGAAGGCTTCTCAAGTGACTATCCCCAGAAACTGGAACATCTGAGACAGGAAGACATTCCCAGATTATAATAAGAGTTGTTTCATGCTGCAGGGATATTTTCTGAGGATTTAGGCAAGTTCACGTTATTGCTGTGGGATTTCTAAACCACATATATTCTGATAAGAAAGAAGATCCTGGCAATCCCTGCATGACAGTAGACAATTGGTCCACACAGACTGCAATGAGCGTCCCGTGTTTTATGTGCATTGTGGTGGCATGTTTACCTCTCTTCACTGCCTCATGGATGGGTGAGGACAAGTGCACCTCGAGCTGGGGGTGGGCTCCGAACTCCAGCAGCACATTGACACATGCGATGCTGCCACTACGGCATGCATTGAAGAGAGGTGTGGCTCCATGAACCGTCACTCCATTGACCTAAGGATGAGCAGAGAAGAACCCCAGAGGATTTGCTATTTCATTCTTACCATCTCCAAGTGTATATTCCTGTGTATCTGCCTGGGGAAATTTCCCATGCTGGTGAATGAGTGAGGGAACTCCACATCTTTATAGTTCAGGCAGTCCCTAAGTTACAAACACCCAACTGAAATATAACTCATACTTATGATCAGAGGGTATTACAGGTAGTAAGTGTTACTTTTCCAACTTACATACAGATTCAACTTAAGAACAAACCTACAGAACCTCCTTTGTAAGCTGAGGACTGCCTGTATTATGAAACCTCATGAGGTTTGAGGGTAGATCAATGAATGACTAGATGTTAAACACTTAAAACATTGCCTGGTACCCACTAAGCACTCAACAAACCCTTGCAACAACAATTTTTTCCATTTTTCACTAATACAGACCTGACTACCTCTCCCAATCATAAACAAACATGGCAGCAACCAAAAGTACTGGAGAAATCAGCTACCTAATGGTCCCTAAATCAATGTTTGCAAAAAATCTCCTGGGCAATTCCCCACAGTTCTACTATCTTTCTCGCCACAAGTTTCTTCTCTAATCCACTGTAATCCATATAAATTGCACACACCAGCTCTTGCTCCTAAAGATATGATGGCCAAGCCAAAGGCACATAGAAAATAGACATTGACATGATGTCTCCAACCATCCTCAGTACCCCCTAGGGTTGTGGGAGTCATGTAAGAACCATCAGGGCTGGGAGGCATCCTGGAGTATTAAAGAATGATTGGGAAGAACACCAGAACGACCTTCTGGTGGGAAGGCTCTGATATGACAGAAATGTACTAGAACAGGTATTTGATGTCAAACCGTTTTGCCTCAACAACTAAGGAAAGTTGTGTGTGATATTAATTTTTTTGCTTCAGAAACAAAAATGATTTATCTCCAAGGTTCCAACATAATCCCTATTAATTTTGGATCTTTTTTTTTTTTTTTTAAGATTTTGAGACAGAGCCTTGCTCTGTCACCTGGGCTAGAGTTCCATAGCCTCAGCCTAGGTCACAGCAACCTCAAACTCCTGGGCTTACATAATCCTCCTGAGTACCAAGGACTACAGGTGCACTCCATCTCGGGCCAATTGTAGTAGTCACAGGGTCTCGCTCTTGCTCAGGTAGGTCTCAAACTCTTGACTTCAAGCAATCCTCCTGCCTCGGTCTCCCAGAGTGCTAGAATTACAAGCATGAGCCACCACCCTCCCCTTCCCCCATCAATTTAGAAAGTTAAAGATTAGATGCTAAGATGGCAGATTCAGGGGAAAATGCGAATAAATGCATAGTCTAGGGATTTCTATACTATTTATATTTTTACTAAAAATATTTGGTGGAACTGGTTTAATTTGTGTTTTACTAAGTATCATCTTTATCCTCTGTCTAGGAAGTCATTGTCTTATGTGATGTCCTAAGCTCCTCTCTTAGTTCATACCAGCAAACATACATGGAACACGTACTAGATGCCAATGTTTTAGAAACGGTAGCAAGACATTTGCCTCTCCTTAAGTAGACTGAATTCTATTACGGAAAACAAATATAGAAAGAGATCATTTTGATACAATAATGAATGCTTTAGATCGCTATGGAAGCAGGATAAAGGAGAGGATAGACTTTAGAAATACTAGGCAGCCAAATTAGTAGGATTTTGTGATTAACCAGATGGGGAGATGGAAGAAACAAGATGATTCCCAAGTTTGGAGCTTGAGAGACCAGGAAAATGACCTGGGCTCTGAAATTGGGAACCCAAGATGAGAAACAGGTCCCAGAGGGAAGAACATGATAAGCACAGCTTCGAATGTATTGAATTTGAGGTGTCCATGAGATTGCCAATTATGGGGAACTTTCTACTGATTACCTTTCTCTTATTTCTTTTTTCATTCTGATTTAAATGTTAAATGATATAACAAAGTATTTGTTGGCTGCTCCCTTATAAAACTGATAAAGACAAGAAACAATGACTTACTTTTCTCCTTGTCCCTCAGAAAATCTTTTCTCTGACCTCAGATTGTTTATCATGTCCTGTCAGCAGTCTGACCGTGACTCCAGTTGACTGGCTTGAAAGGAGATGGCCCTCACATAGCCTTGCCCTTATCATTATCCCTTACACCAGTGGTTCTCAACCTTCCTAATGCCACGATGTATTTGCATTTTTACAAAGAGGTTGCAACCCACAGGTTGAGAACCGCTGCCTTAGATGACTAAGTGGTAACTTAAAGAACCATTACCAAATGGAAATGCCTGAGCAAGGCGGCATCAGAAAAATTAGTTTTTGCAAGAAACTAATATTTTATATTCAGTTCTACTCATAGAAACTGAATATTTTATATTCAGTTCTACACGTCTACATATAGAAACTCAACTCTATAAAAGACAAAGAAAGTCACCATTAAGCACTTGAAAATACTGCAGCTCATAAAGAATGCAAAGGCTGAGTCAAACAACAAAATTGGCAACAAAACAACATCTGGCAACTTATCGCAGCAGTCACCGAGATTTTTCAGAAGTTGTGATTTCATAATTCTGTCGGGATGTTTGTGTTATATATAGGGCCTCAGTCACTCTTTGGAAAAAGTTAGGCTATACGTTCAAAATACGATAAAGTTTAATTTTGTGGGGTTTTCCAATGTACTATTTATTAAGAGCTTATTGATTTTGATAAGTTTGCTCAACAAGAATAGTTATTGGCTTAGGTATGAAATGAAGTGTCTTTTATTGTTCTTTTAAAATTTGTCCTTTTTAATATCTTACTTATCTTTTTTGGTTTTTTTTTTTTGGTCGGGGCTGGGTTCGAACCTGCCACCTCCAGCATATGGGGCCGGCGCCCTACGCTTTTGAGCCACAGGCGCCACCCCCTTATCTTAAGTCAGCATCACAATTTGGAAACCGAAATCAGGAAACCTGAGCGATGGAATATACGCAGGGACAGAGCCAGTCAGCCCGTACCCACAGTGAGTAAGCACTAGGGAAGGCAGAGTCTCTTAAGGTGTTAGCAGATGCACGGGGGCAGACAGAACCATGCGGGCAGGGGCAGCACTCACGTGGGCAGGGGTAGTACTCACGTGGGCACCATTTTCCAACAAGGCTTTAGCACAGGCCACGTGACCTCCAAGGCATGCCTCATGAAGAGAAGAGACCCGGTTAATTGTCACAAGGTTCACATTGACACCCTATCATTCGGAGAGAAGAGAAGGAAATGCTTTATTACTGATAGCAATGAAAACAATGTTGGGCAGTATGTGTCTCCAGTTTTCAAGGTCTGTTGGTGGCAAAGTGGCACCATGTAGAGACAGCAGAGATTATGAGCAAGAGAGTATAAACACAGCCCGGGAGCCTCGTGTTCACGTAGTCAATAAATGCTCACTCAGCATTCCGAGCCAGGAAGTGTGCTAGGACCCGAGTCTTCAACCCTTACGACATGGCTCTGCCTCCTCCCAGGCAGAAATGCAAAATCAAAGGGAAAAACCAGTGCTATCCTGGAAGCCTGTTCAAACTTCATTCAGGAGATGGGCTATCCTTAAAGCTGGCTTAAGGAATAAAAAAAAAAATTAAAAAAAAAAAAACCTTGACAAATGAAGTGATATTTTAGCTTAGGCTTAAAGCATAAAAAGTTTCCAGATAGGAAAGCAAAGGAAGGGTACGCCATCAGGAGGGAATAGAAGATGCAAAATGGAGAGTTGATTGTAGGGATAAGGTTGAAAGACTGAAGCAGGGAGAGCCAGGGAAATGTGGCTGCGAGTCCACGAACAGGTGGCACCGGCCTGCTGTGGGTGTGAACAGCAGTGGATATGAGGAGGGGTAGGTGGCAGACTGCAGGGAAGTTCAGGGAGTAGATTTGGATCTGAAAAAGAAGGGTGACCCTTGCACTTAAGAGTAGGAAAGCGAAGTAGCCAGCACTTCCTTATCAGGCTGTGCAATAGCCAGCCACACTGCTTTGGACACCATGTCACTGCACAAGGAGGTCCCTGAAGTCACAGTGTCTGGGGCCAGGCGTAGGGCTTCTCCAAACCCTCATTTCCTCACCCAAATACAACCATCTCTGCCCAGGCCTGACATATTCCCCTGTCCCACACTGCTGTGCTCTGCCATCCTCATCCTGGAGTCCATGTGACAGATGACAAGGTCAGCCTAGCTGGTGGACAACTCTGACTTCATACACCAGATTTTAATAACTTGACCTTTACCCTTTCCCTCCCATGATTGCCACTTCGTACTTTGGAAAAGACTTAGGTCCCTGATCGGTGCTTCCCAGCCAAGCCTTGCCTTGTAACCTATCTGCTGAAACTCTGCAGCCCAAACTCCTACCTACACACCCACTGTCTTCTGCCAGATCTCCATAGGGCTGGCTGCATTCCTGCTGTAGCCAGCAGCTGAGATTTGCCTGTCCCTTCATCATAGGGCCTCCCCATGCCTCCCGGGTCCTGTCTATTTTCATTTGCTGGATATGACGTCATTACTCTACAATTGTGCTATTTATTTCAAACTGGGTATCTAACACAGTTAGAAAAGTCTTTTCCTTTTCTCATGTATAAAAGAAGAAAAAAACCAGACTAGTCCACAAGGTGGCAGAGTGTGATAAAAAGCAAGCAGACAAACAAAACTTTGATTCAGTGTAAAAATCTCAGATTTTCAGAATTGGCCTGAAAGACGATCTACCTTAACTGTGCATGAGGAAACAGAGAAGCAGAACTTTGAAATTATTTACAAGACTTAGGGATTGTGGCTGTCAGTGACAGCCAGCAATGTAACCAAGAGTTTCGAAACCCTGGTTTAATGTTTTAACTCACATGGCTTTAATGATTTACTCATATTTACCATGCTATATAAATGTAAAATAAATAGTGTATATGGGTGAAGTGGAGATGTAGCAAGTAAAAGTTGAACTTTTCCATGAAGAATGCTTCCTATACACTTGATCACACTATTGAACCTGACATGTTTCTGAAATATAGTTAAAAATCAAGGTGTGCTCAGCGTAGCTAGGACCCTGGTACATAAAAGGACAGTAGTGGAAAAACTGTTGAAGTCCCAACAATCTGCAGTTGAATTAATGTCTGTTAATTTCTTGTTTTTCACTAATGGACCATGGCGATGTCAACATTAGGAGAAGTTGAGTGAAACGTACAGAGTGCATGGGAACGCTCTATAGTGTGTTAATAACTCTGCTTCAAATTTATCCCAAAATACAAAGCTTGTTAAAAATACTGTTAAAAGTATTGAGGTGGGAGGCTGAGAGGGAGGCAATGACGCAAGAATTTTCATGGCATATCTTTTTATAACATTTGAATGTTTTTGTCATTTAAAATCATTTAATACATAAAGCGAAAAACCGTGTAGAATATAAAAGCATTTCACATTTTTAAAAACGAAGACCTTCTAAATTACAGGTGTAAATATCGACAATCCTTTATCTGAAACCCTTGGGGCAGATGTTTCAGATTTAGAAAATGTTCAGATTTTATAATTCAGTGCATACTACATGAACCCTCTGCATTCTACAGTAACCCTCGGCACCCCTCCCCCCAGTCATCAAACACATTAATTTTTCCTCAAGCAAAATAAACAAACATTCATACTAAAGGGGATAACTTTTGGTGTCAGTTCAGATTAGATTTGCAAGCCAATGAGGTTTGGCCCTAAGCTTATGAAAACCTTGTTTGCAAAGTTTTTTGGATTTTGGTATTACGATTATAGATTAAGGAGCGCAGTACAAACTGTGTGATGAGACATGAAAGATTATTTCAAGAACTGACCCACTTTTACAAATGAAAAAAACATACATGCTTTCCCATACAGTATAAATTAACAGCCATCTTCTCTTTGATATTATTAAATGTACATAACATTTTAAGTTTTGAACTACGTTATATATTAACAATAACTAAATAACATCAAATATAAAGGGCCTACAAATAAATAAGCAAGTAATAAAATCGGGTACAAAGCCCACGTGATCATTGTTAGCAATACTGATTTTCTTTTGCCTCTACTTTCTTAAGAAATAACACAACTCATAAAGGGGAAAGCGAAAAAAAAAATCAATCAATTTAAAAGCACGTGTGTGCGAACCCACACACACAGAGCAGTACACCTTAGTTGTTTAAGTTCAAAATGGTAAGGAAGGCAAGTTAGGTAACTGCGAGGACGTGGAAAGAAAAACAATGACTCACCCTCTCTGTGAGTCATTAACAGCAGACTGTAAAACAAAATATACAAATGGAGGCTGTATACTTTTTTCCATTCGTTTCACAAATATTTACCAGTGTCTATACTCATTGTTCAAGGTGCTGGGAATACAGTCACAAATACAAATAAAGTAGACTTCATAGCTAAGATTTGAATGATTCTTCCCTAAGGAGTAAGATTTACCCATTTGTTAACCTATTTTAATACTCTTAAAATACTACATATTCTATCAATGGGATGGCCTAAGATAGTGCCCAGTAAGCTCTGATTCCTGGCATTGGCTCACTTGTGTAATCCCTTCACCTTCAGTGTGAGCTAGACTTACTCATATCGAATAATTAGAATATGGCAGAAGTGACAAGCTGTCACTTCAGAGATTCGGTTATTAAACAACTGTGACTTCCCTGTTCGGCACGCTCTCATACTCTCTCTGAGGGAAGCCAGCTGCCATCTCATGATGCAGCCCTGTGGAGAGGCTCACGTGGCAAGGAATTAAGGTTTGCCAACCACCACAGGACTACTTTGGAAAGCCACCCCCCCACCCCACCGTGTTGAGCCATAACTGCAGCCTTGGCTGACCCTCAGCAGCCCGTGAGAGACCCTGAGCCACCATCACCCAGCTAAGCTGCTCCCTGGCCCAGAGAAACCATATCAATCAAAATGCTTGTTCTTTATGGCCACTGTGCTTTGAGGTAATTGGTTACACAGCGATAGCGGACTAATGCAAGTTTAAGGCTATTGTTACTAAGGCCCAAGCTAAGAAGTATGAGGTGAGTTGGTGCAGCACAAATTTGAGGGCATCCTCCAAGATTCCCCACAGAAAAACGCAAAGGAAGGCCCAGAAAGGGAAGGAGGGAACTGGGCAGAAAACGAGGCAGCTCCCCAGGAACACAGAGGGGAAGAATGAACAGAGAGGTACAAGAGAATACAAGTGCCTGGAATGGTAGTGCTGGGATGAAAGAGGTGAGCAAGTCCTCTGCTGCCGCTAAAGCTAACAGAGAGTGATGCTTGATCACAGCATAAGCACGAAGGAGCCAGTCTTCAGTTTACTTACTTGTGCAATTAAAGTTTTAAGGGCCAGTAAGCGTCCCTGAGCTGCAGCTTCATGGAGCGGGGATCGATCAGCCCAGCAGTCTGAAACACAAATCAAGCTTAGAGTTAAGGTTTGGAGACTTGTTCCTGTGGCTTCTTCATGCTGCCCACCCACTATGTGAGGAGTTCAGGGCAAAGAAGAGGGAAGCAGGGACCGTGTGTCAGACTGTCTCATCAACTGTTTGCAGGCAACAAGCTACTGAATATAAAGTCCATTAGTTCAGTGGTGTGTGCCAAGAGAGGGGAATAGTCAATCCCTCTGACTTTTGAGGGGCAGCTTTAATAAGCAATAGATTTAGTTCAAATATATAGTGCCCAGAGCCTGAATCCAATAGGTCTAAATAAGGGAAATTGAAGGGCAAAGCAGGCCAATGAGATTCCCTATTTTTCTCCTTCCTCTGCCTTCCACCCCTATCCCAAAGACTTAACTGCATGTGCACTATGAAGGAGATTCTAAGGGGCCAGGGAAAATAGTTTTGTCCCCAATTTTCGGGGTAGTTGTTTCTGCTTCATGTGATAATGAAGTATATCTATTACAATGTAGAATGTCATTTTTCAAAGGACTGATTCCTCTAAACACTTTTCCCCAACCAGCTTTCCCGTGAGCAGTTTAACATGATGGCTGTGGGGGGGACCAAGTGGAGCTAGACTACCTGGATTCAAGTCCCACTTCAACCACCTTCTCTGTCCAAATCAGCAAGTTACCAAAATCATTGGAACCTCAATTTCCTTATCTGTAAAAAGAAGTTACAGTAATCTAGTATTTGGCAAGTGCTTTGGTTTCTAAGTAGGCCAATAAAATATATCCATGGTGACAGATGCTCCAGACACGTTAAGTGGTCCAATTTATGACTAATAAGTAGGCTTGATAGCATAGCACTCTAAGTAACAGCCTCAGACTGCCTTCTAAATGTTTTTGTTATAAGTGCTTGTCTACAAACAAGACTAACCAGCTTAATGGGCATCTGAAAAGTAACCCTCTATTAAACATCTCAAAGAGCAATCATTTGTTTGGGAAGAAAACCTACTCCAGTTTGCAAAATGTGCTGATTTCTCACATTATGACTGTGCTCTCCATATACTGAGTAGAAGGTTGTACAAATTGGATTTAACACAAAGGGCCCCTCTTCTCAACTTCTTCTAGGTGATCCTAATGAGGATAACAACTCAGGCTTTCCATATCTACAAACATGGCAAAATGAAAATCTCTGAATAGAAAGTAACTCGAGGCTTTAAGGAAATAGTAAACTTTTCCAATGGATGAGAACCAGGGTTATAAACATTTCAAGTGGCCCTCTTTCTATTCTAACTCAGTGTATGTCCTCTAACCCTTTGGGTTATAAAAATGGAGGAAAGCTTCAATGAACCTTATAGGTTGGACTGATATTGGAGAATTGGTACAAAAATGTGGTTTTCATATGTCTAAATAGATTTTAAAATGTATATTTAGATGTAAAGCATAAAAGTGTATATATACAGAAAACCTAAACCAGGGTTCCTTGGAGAGATAGGTGACTCAGGCCTGGGCCAGGAAAAATACAATATGGACCTCACCAACCATCTTACCAGAAAGTAAGGAAGTATTCAAAGACAGACAGGCAGTATCAAAAAGGCACAGAAGCTGGCTTGACAGGGCTTCCGTTGGCTAAATATGGGACAATTCAAGCATCAAAAATAAACAATGAGAGTAAAAGATTATACCCTACCAAATAAAAACAGTGATCTAGAAGTCCTTTATTTAGTCAGTGATGTAAATAAATATATAAAGATGGCGAACAGAAAGCATTTCATCATAACAGAACGCCAACTTAGAAAAGCAGAAGAAATAATAGACAATCATCCTTGTCTCCTCATAAAATAATTACTACTTATACCAAAAGTAGGGGTCATTTTACAGAAGAAAACGGCAAAAACCATCTCATCCAAGTGACAACATTTAACCCGATCAGTAATGGAACAAATCAGCACCATCTGCCATCTGACGAAATGCCATTGCTTCAGTGACATTCCTGCTCCAAATGAGTTAACCCACATCTGATCCTGAGGACACCAGGCAAAGGGGACATTCCACTAACTAATTGGCCTGAAAATGCAATTCCTGGGACAGAGGAACAATTCCAGAAGGGTGCCGACAAGACACAATAGCTAAAGGCAACACACCTGATTATTCTGCTATCAAGGACATTATTAGAACAGTTAGCTAAATATGAATGGGATCTCTGGATGAAAAGAAGTAGGAATTCTTTGTATAGTTCTTATAACTGTTAGTTGAAATTACTTCCAAAATGAAAAGTAAAACAAAAATAAATAGGTCTATCAAATCACTGGTGATCCCATACTCCTGATATGAATGCATAATGCTTTTATAATAAAGAAAAACAGATCAAATTTTTAAGATGAACATACCTTGTGTTTGTACCTCCACTTGTTCCAGAATTGGTTAAAAATTGAAGCGTGAAATAAATTTAAATCTCTTTGGACATCTATAATTGTCGTAAACCAGAAATAATGAGATAATCTTACTAATTGAGCATTAAGTATTGAGTATTATTAATAATTGGTCTTACCAATTGCTCTTACTCAATTTTATCATATATATAAATTTTTTACAACAATTTTTTATATATATATAAAATGCTCAATTAGTAAGACTTGGTTTTCCTCTAATACCTCCCCATCTCATTCGACGTGAAGTGTACGTCAGAGATGTTACCCTCTTACTTGATTGCTACTAAAAGTGAATACAGCACAGGGATCGGGAGGACGGTTTTTACCCACAGCTGCCAACTTAAAACTCTGACCAAATGAAAAAAGCAAAGCTATACGTGTGCCTTTGTTATGCCATTGTTCTAACAATAGCCTGAGTCACCTGAAGGTACTGTAAGTATTCACTTCAAAAATAAAAACAAGCTTTAAGTAAATCTCTGATCATCTCTGTAGCCCCTGGCTTCTTCCCACTCCCAGAAGGTGGGGTAGGGCTCTAACTGGCCCACGAAGCAGCTGGAGGTAGAAGGGCAGCATGTTCTTCACATGCCTCCTACTTCTTCCTTTCAAGTGCCAGCTCCTTTGGTGCCCCGGGAGTGGGGAGAAGTGAGAGGAACAGGGAAGATGTCTACCTGGAAGAGGAGGCCAGCTCTGCTTATGTGGCCTCATGGCAGGCCTCACTCTGGGTCTGTGACATGCCCTTTGCACCAGGGCTCATTTCCAAGTACCTTTCCCACCCATTGGCATTTGGCTACCTCTCCTCATGTCTCCCATCAATGCAGCATCCTCTGATGACCCTTACTCCCACCCCATGCCTCTGATGTGGCGACAAGCCCTGTGCCAGCTTCCATTCCACCAAGAAAGAGGGAATGGTGGCTGTCCTGGGCTTCTCCCTCACCACCCACTGCCTTCCAATTCTCTTTCCCCCTATTTGGACAGCACAGGGCCAGGCAGTTCACCAAGTTGTCCAAGCACGCTTCCAACTTGAGAGTGAAATACCAGGCTCAATCTCCTTTCAGGTATCCGTTATCTAAACTTGAATTTCTCCTACAGCCCCCATCCCATGGCTTTCAGTAGAGGAAGGAGAGCCTTGCTTTATGGCTGGAAACACCCCAAATTGCACAACCCCTTTGCTCCACGTGAAACAGTAAAGAAGTAGGATTGAAACTCAAGTTTTGGAGACTTCAAAAAACACCTTGTTCTGGTTTTCAGAACCACTGGTTTTTAAATTCTGCTTATCTTCAGGGTAAATTTAAGTTGTCTCAGGATGCTTTCATATCCACCTTCTCCCTATAACTAGTATAAATCTGCAGTCCTCAAACCTAGGTTGTACACCAGTTTTGGCCTGTTAGGAACTGGGCTGCACAGCAGGAGGTGAGCAGCAGGCAAGCAAGTGAAGCTTCATCTGCATTTACAGCCCCTCCCCATCACTGGCGTCACTGCCTGAGCTCCGCCTCCTGTCAGATCAGTGGCATTAGAGTTTCATAGGAGTGTGAGCCCTACTGCCAACTGCGCATGCGAGGGATCCAGGTTGTGCTCCTTACAAGACTGTGATGCCTGATGGTGTGAGGCGGGGCTGAGGGGGTGATGCTAGCGCTGGGGAGTGGCTGCAAATACAGATTATCATTAGCGGAGAGGTGTGACTGCACAGACCATAGTAAATCAATCGCTTGCAGGCTCATATCAAAACCATTCCCCCACCCCAGTCCATGGAAAAACTGGCTGCCATGAAACTAGTTCCTGGTGCCAAAAAGTTTGGGACTGCTGGTATAAATAATTCAACTGTATCACCTTAAAAGTCAAAGTCATTTTTGTTTCCCAACTGGAAAGAGAATCACTCTCAAGAAAGTAACGTTTCCATTTCATCGTTTTCTAGCACTTGCTTCCAAGAACCTTGAAAGGTTTTCACACAAAACCCTTTTTCAGAAACTGCCACAGTGGGGTCTCCTGTTTTTCTATTCTTGTTCCCAACAGTCTCTCACTCACTCTTATCATTCTCATTTTGCAAATTGAAGCTAATTGTAAGAAATTGAGGATAAAAGTTATTTGGCAGCTTGGGAGTTTTTCCATTCCCTTCATGAAATATGCAACTAAGCTCTCCAAATAAATGAATGCTTAAGTAGGACTCAATCACTCTCCTCTAAGGCAATCTATTTTTAGTCACTTGGCAGACTGCCTGTGTCACAGGGCTGCAAACACATTACGAAGATAGTTTACTCTACAAATATGTTTGCTTGTTCTTGATGAGGTGTACGGAAAATGTTCAAGCACTTTTTCATTTTCCCTTCTGAATTTTTCTCAGAACGTGATTTGTATCTTTAGCTTTCAGACTGTTTGAATAACAACTTCACAACAATTTCTAAAACCACATAGTTCGATAACAAAATTGGTTCAGATGGAATAAAAAAAAATCCCAGGTGTTTAAGATAAAACCAATTATTTTTTTAATTTTTTTTTTTTTTTTTGCAAATTATACCCTAATACCAACAAGGATTTCAAATTCTAGTCTATTATTCAAAAAGACCACCTAACTGGTTATAATCCCTGATGCACGTGAACCATCTTTATTCTCTTTATTCAACTTCTAAAATCATATTAAGCAACACCTTCTCTAGCATTTATTAAAGAAAAAGAAAGTGCATAGGGAACTTCACTTTTGAACCAAAATATAGGCAAGAACCTAGCAGAATTAATGATATTTTAAGTAAAACCTAGACAATTTGAGACAAAGATACTATAATAAATTTCCTGATATCCAAAACAATGTAATAAAACTGAGTGAAAATGGATACTCTCTGTTCAGTTCTGGTCAGAGGATGGGCACAGTCAATGAGCCACATCAGACACAAAGACTCGTGTTGATGTTACAAAGAAGGCCCCTGAGAACCCATTAGGGGCCGGAGAGATGAAGTAATGGTGACCCATGGGAGGCAGAGCCCTGCGGGAACTGCTTGTCCCAGCGTGGGAAAGACCAGTAGGCACCTGAGCTACAGCACCACTTAGAGCACAGTTAGGCCAACATTTGGGGAAATGACCAGGGAAACTAAGCACAGAAGGCTAGGCAGAGGTTTGGGCAAGAATGGAACAGAGGCAGGCAAATCCTATAGGCATGGAGAAGATAAGAAAAGCAAGTCAGGAAGATGAGTCAGACAGAAGCAACACTGTCAAATCACAGTCAATTAGCTGATGAGGTGATTTTAAGGGTAACACTTAGAACAGTACTGATCTTTCAGACTTAGCTTAAAATAGCCATTGTTTTTTAAAAAGAAGTTACTATAGTTCTATAACCTCTCATCTATCATTGTAAAATTACCCATTGTCTGAAAACCAAGCTTCTCCCTGAACTTGATGCAAACTCATTTAGCTGCAAAACATGGCCAGAATTCAGGCTAAGCAATTTATTATTTTTATTTGTGTTTTCACTTAGTGAAACATCAAAGTGGGTGATGTGGGAGACAGCTCCAGGCCCCCCTGGGAGTGCTGTGTAATGCACAGCATACATACTATGTAATCTTTCTAACATCCAAAAGAGGTTACTGAATTCTGAAGCATGTCTGGCCCAAGGGTTGTTGAATAACAGATGATCAGCCTGTATCCACACTTTGTTTTCATCAAGTTTGATTACCAGGTCGCAGTACTGAATATAACTTCGTACAAATTCACAGAAGCTGAAAAATCACACAGCATCTCTCCTGAGAAAGGTGCCTGCACAAATATCTTGAAGGTGGGCTCTGGTGATCCACCTGATGCTCCACACAGAACAGCAAGGGACAAGGACAATGTTTCAAACTTAAAAAGATACACACACACACACACACACACACACACACACATATACACAAGTGGACATAAAGTTTGTGTGCAATTTAAAATAGTATAACATACTAAAAAAATGCACACAAACTTTATGGACACCATATATATAAATATGCATGTATATTTGATAAAATACACAGAGAAGCTTGAAAATCAAAACTAATAACCGTCAACCATAGCTTAGTTTGAATGAGTTATCTGCAAATGTGCCACTTTAAACCACAAGACCTATTGGCTCATGTATTCCAGAATATAAAATTCCAAAAATCTTTCCAAAAACTTTTACAGCTAAAAACAAATTATATATAATAAGGAAGTGATATTAGGCACAGCTTCTAAAACAAAGAGTACCCAGGACCTATGAAAGCCTAACTTCTGCCCCAGCTGAGTTCTTCCCATCCACCCTTGTTTTTGACATTACAGAGGTTCGTTTACAGCAGTGATTTTCAACCAGTGTGCCTCGAAAAATTTTAAAGATAATTAATTAACTTCAAAAGAAACTCAAAGCACAGTGCATATATATATTGCTCTTCTTTTGATCAACACGATTTAAGCGTGACATGGAAGCTTAACTATAGGTTCAAATGTGCCATGAGATTAAAAAAGGTTGAAAAACACTGGCTTACAGGAACAGAATCTGCTAGCAGAATCAAGAATTTAACCTTGGGCTGAGACTTGTGCAAGTCAATGAGCTAATCTACTGATTGTCATATATTTTCCCAACAAACATTTGTCTGGCCAACGAACAGCAAAGGTGATTTTTGGTTTAAGTGTTAACACCACAAAATTTTATTCTTGATTTTTAATTACATCTAGCTCTAAATGTGTAGTATCTGTTAATGGTGGTGTCAAATGCAAAAGCACGGAACTGTGTAAAAATTACTGGTTCTGGCAAATTACTGCCTATATTATTACAGAAAGACTTCTTTACCAAATCTATTATATGTATATGCAGGCATATGGGGGTCTGTGTATGTGTGGGGCACGCAAACACATACAGGAAGGAAATAAAACAGGAAAACTAACATGCATCATTCTCAGTCCTGCCCCTCTACCAATAATTGAAAAATATGTTTTTAACTTTATAACACTATGCTGCTTGCAAATTAAATGAACATTATCCTAGGAGCATGACCAAGTACAGGAATGAATGAATAACTCTATTTAAGAGATTCATATTTTGGCTCCAAATTCAAATTTAAACTATGTTTACATGGGTTTTGACTACTGGAAAATCATTTTTAAGAGTGCACTTGATTAAGGACCAATCACAAAGACAGAAATAAAACACATGAGCAACAGGAGGAAACATTTTTAACGTGTTCTTGCCAATATTAACCTTGCTGGACTTTGCCTAATTGAAACCACGAGGATGATGTATCTACAAGAACATCAAACCCATTACTGAATATTTTAGAAAGCCACTGTCCAAATTTACAAGTTAAATTAGAAAAGAGCTTTTCAGATCTTGGTTAACTTCAAACTATAAAGAAGAGTTACTTTCTTATTTTTTAACCAAAGCAACATACCTCCCTGAAATGTGTGACAAATGTAATCCCCAAAAGAGATCTCTTTCCACAGTCCAGGCCTTCGGATATTTTCTGACACTTCAAAATTCTTCTCAATTTCCCCAGTTAATTGAAGCATTCTGATGCTTCTCCTTTGAAGGTCTTATTTGTTTGGATAAGACCGCTGTTGACTAATGTCTTCCAAGTTGTCTGGTGTATTGGAATCACATAGCATAATCCTATTTTGAAAGAGAATCCTGGATGCAAACTGAAATGGACACTAGACAAAGAATGATGTAATCTTGGAAGCCCCATGAACACTAAAAATACATTGGGAAACTGTTTATGAATGCTCTATTAAGTGACAATCCCAGCAGCGACAGGGATACAGATATCCCTGCAGCGTCGCACTATAATTAAGGTGAATAATTTCTTGAAAAAAAAAAATGGAGACTAATCTCTACAAAGCATGAGACTTTAAAATGTTTTACCCAAATCTTGACATTTCATACTATAACACCATTTGTTTGCAGTGCTTTGCATGGTAGCACATACAAATGGGTTTAGTGAAGTTTTTCCCGACAGTGACAAGTTGTTAATCAATTCCAGTTGCAAATGGCAGCACAAAAATATACACAGCATGCCACGTTTGCTACTTAAAATCAAACTTATTGGTCATTCTATTTCCTGAGGCAATGTAGTCTCCTTAGCACGTTCATTGTTAAAGTTCAGTTAAAAATACTAAAATCATCCTATGTAAGTAGTTCTTCTGGTCAGCACAAATGAGGTTGCTCAAAAGACTCTTAGTAACAAGCAACTTCATCATTTGCTTCTGAAGTAATAACTGTTAATAGATCTACTAACTTGCAAAACATAAAGCTGAAAATCCTTCACAACTTGATGCAGCCTACAGCATTCACTACTTTTAAGGACAGATGTTTTAAAATTATCCACTCAAAATCAAAGTACAAATAAAATCTGACTTCTAGAAATACTACTGTTCATATGAATTATCTAGGAGGGGGTTGTTAGGTATTGGGAACAAATTCATGTACTTTTACCTGAAATTCCACCATAGATCTCTTCTGCTATCCTAGCTGCTTCTTTTCTATTTCCTTTGACGATATAGAAATGAGTTAGCAGAGCCAAGAAAACTTTAATTAAAAGCTTGAAGAAAAAAAAGGTAGCAAACATTGTAAGAAAAATGTTTTTAAAGCCATAGAAAACAGGACCATCTTCCATTTTGGCTTATGCTCTGTATAGGGTCCTCTGACTGTAAAATTGCACTGAGTTATAATTGGTATCATATGACATCTATTTTAAACCCTCTAGCACTCGGTGCTCCTGTTACTGAGAACTCAGTTTATAGGTTCTAATCTGACTGTGACTTGGCAACTCCATGGGCTGACATCCACAGCAATGCTAAACAAACTCAAGAAACTTCCTTCTACCCAGAAACATCCAATAGTTCGAGAACTTCGTCCCTCAGGACTATCTAACAAACAGAATTCACGTACAGACCTTTTTAACTCCTAAACCCCTATTTTTGCTATGTTGGAAGCAGGGTTAGAAAGATAGAAGTACTTCTCAGACAAAGAAACAAAGCAAGGTACGTGATGTTCATTCAAAGCAGCTCAATATGTTCTATGTCCTTAGTGCCCCTGGAAAATTGCTCTTCGTTCTGAGGTTTATAGAGGATGAAGCCCAAATCTAAAATGTGGCTAGTTAAAAAACATCATTTACTCTAAGGCGGTATTTACTAAAAGGCTCATCTTGGCTGCCTCTCCAAGTGAAAGTGTCAGACCAGAAGCCTGGGACTGCTGGCTGTGGCCACTTCATTGACAAGGTCCCATAGCCAGGTTGCCTTCTGATCACTCACTGCCATTACAAGCATCAGTAAACACGGTGCCTCTTTCTGGAAAGTGTGGGCTATCTTTGACCAGGGAAGAATCGTAATGAAATGGATCAAAGAGGCGCACTAGGTTCTGGGTGAAGCACCCAAAGATTCCATGAGTCAACCCTGACGGGCAATATTCTCTCTTCAGCTGGCCAACATAAGTGGAACTGGTTTATTTTTAATTTTCTTCATCACCCTAGGTCTCTGCCATCATTCTCAGCTATATTTTGTAAATTTCTAAAAACCTATTGAAAAGGCAAGCTGAAATAAAATTGCATAAGCAACTAAGTAAATTTAATAAATGCTTTCTGCGAAAATGTGGGAGCTTCTCAGAACGGCCTCTGTAAGAACTGTTTCACTACACTGTTAAAAAGGCTGACACATGAGAATACAACCTAGAGCCACAATATATAGCTCCCCATTTCAGCGTCTCACGGCACTCTAAGGACATTGTGTTTTCACGCTCACGGGACAGATGTTAACATATAAAGTTTGCTGAGATTAGAGTACCTGGTAGAACACCAGCGTATGAAAATACACAAATACAAGTATTTTGGCTCTCTTCACGTACCTTTGACTGTACTCTAAGTAGGCAATCATTTACACACGTCAGACCAGTGGTGAATTTGTACTGTAACATTATTCAAGCTTATCTTGGTTTTAACTTTCCTGTATGATAAAACATGGCTGTTGCACTGTAGGATGCATAGCAGCAACCCTGGCCTCTCCTCACCTTATGCCAACGTCCTGCCCCCATCCAGTAGTAACAATCAGAAATGTCTCCAGACACTGCCAAATGTCCCCAGGGGGAACAAAATCCTCCTCCTAGCCTACAGTTGAGAACCACCACGCCATCCCCAGAAATAAATGATAAAGGATAAAATCAATTCTCCAACATGCTGGAGAACACAGGCCAAATTCTGTATAGAACTTAAAGTTTCATCATTTCATTTAAAAAAAATCCAGCCATGGATGAAACGATTTAACACTGAGCCACATTCATTTGGGAATGCACAGATGACTAAAGAGGGCTTTAAAAATAGTTTACCAAAATAAACACTGGCCCATAATACCCTGACTGTGCCAAAAATAAGTTTTGGTGTAAGACAAATGAAAACACATGAACACAGGTGACTATTCTCACTACTTCCAATGAAGGGGGTGAGAGAAGCTGGACATCTGTAAATGAAATCAAAATTCAAATTTCTCTCAAAATAGCTGGCAAAATAAAAAGCAGTGCATGCACACAACAGTTTGCAGATCTTTTGTCTCATGTGATAACGCCGCCAGTGCAGTGAAAAACAGAAGTTTGTTTGGATCAGGAGACAAAGGCACAATTGAACTTCTACTCCATAAGCAAAAGACAAAATATACTCTAGAAACAAAAAAAGACCGACTAATTCATCATCTGAAGGATATTTCCTGTTTTACTAACAAACCAAGCAACACAGCAAGTTGCACTGGAAAAGAATGTGTGGGGGCAAGGGGCCTCTGTTCCACTAGTAAATCATCATCTGTTCATCAAACAAGACAGACTCAGAAAATTATCAAAATGTTATTCTGGCCTTTATTTTTGGGACACATAGCATGTTTTAACAAATCAGTTTTACATGTGCAACCTTTTGTAACATCCGAAGAAATGCAGTATGTTTCTAAGAAATTCCTCATCACTGTAAGTTCATTTTTCTGAGTACCAAGGTAGAACAATGTGTTTCCACATACTGATCAGTGAAACACTGACTGAGGGTTACAATTAAGGTATCCGGGAAGGCTGAAAATTAAGATTTATGGAAGACAAATTTACTTTTACTTCTTTAAAAAAAATGGGAAAGATTTAAAAGCACATTATTTCACATGCAAAGGCAACTAACTTCAAATCTTATTTCAATCTTAAATAAATGACAACTTAAGAATTAAATGATAATTTTGCAAAAAAAGGAGCAAAAAAATATAAGTGGAATGGTAGTATGACTATAAACTGCTGAGTAGAATAAATAAAATCAAATGTTATAGGTTCTCATTTTACCATTAATATTGGCACTATTTATTTCATATTTATACATGAGTTTCTATGCATAAAAATCCCTATGAGACTGGTTTGAATCAGTCCACTTTTCTCCAACAAAAGAACCCTAACTTCTAGATTTTAAAAATTGCACTCTAATATTTGTATTTCAGTACAAACAAAACACAAATATTATTTCTTTTATATCAGTGCAACCAATAGGCATGTTAAGATACTTTGTAAAAAGAAGTGTTCTGAGTGTTGTCATTTAAAAAATTCCTGTACAGAATCACAATACTGAATCAATCTCGTGCACGTGAGTGCCTCAATGCTTTATTTCATAGTCCATTTCTCACAAAAACTTATTCTGAAGAGTTCGAAGAATACACACCATATGGATAATTTGGGGTTAAAAAACCCATGGCTCTGGGCAATAATTATATTTAACATCCACCCACAAAGAGACCACGTTCCTAAAATTTTCAGACTTGGTTTGATATAAATAAAACATTCTAGAGCAAAGCCTTCTGCACACTGACAAGACTTATCAGACATCAGTGAGGCCACAGTGAAGTGTAGTGATTCAAAACGACAAGGTAGCAGCTGGTTTTGAGATGGCACATCTCATATATTCTGCTCAGAAAACATGAAGGCATTTACAGAGGACTAAATTATGCACTGAAAAATGTGGAGGGTTTCTCTGTACTATCAACAGTGATGTCGGTCCCTAGTATTTGAAAAGCAAAAAATATCTTCATAAACACAACCGAAGACATAGGTTCCACCAAGGAAAATGCAAACAACAGGATCAAGGAAGTACTAGAAGTGTGTCAGCGATTTTTTCTTTTTCCTGGCATGAACCAGCCTGAGCATTTTTGGCATGTTGGACATTTTACCACTTCATGTCAATCATGACTATAATGCAGTAAGCCATTTCAATGATAAACAAACAATGAATACACCCCTGGTCCTTAAAGGCAGAAATACCTGGGTCAACATTCTATATACATCAGGTGCTCCAAACGTGCCGGTAACTAATAATCCATCTTACTCAAAAAACCTGTTGATTATATGTAACACTTACTGAGTGTACCCAATAATGTTTAAGAGCATGACTTAGATCTCTAATAAATGGATATGAACGTGACTTAAAATAGTTCATATAGTTGTTGTACTTCCCTAAAGAAAACTTGTAAACATCTGGTGAGTGTCTAATTAATGTCTAATGGTATAACATTAAAAACTGGCCAAAAAATGCCCAGAAAACATTTGGCCCTTCAGCACCCAAAGCTCTCAAAATATAATGTTAAAACATCTCTGCTAGAGGGATTTCAGTAGTCTGAAAAACTTCGTACCTGAGTGGAGTAAATGTTCTCTACTAAATTTTAAGTGCATGGAGTTTCCACACTCAGGAATTGCATATGTTTTTCTCTTTCCTCAAAAGAAAACATTGGATGATATAGAGGTAGCGTAACTTACTAAATTAACTTTAAAAAATGAAAATCCAAAAAGCAAGGTTAGTTTCAATAATTTTCATAGGAATATTACAAATGTTTCAAATCTTACAATTCAGGCTTTCTTCTACCTTGTTTTAGATATTTCATTATTGTCCCCCCCCCTTTTGTTGTGAGAATATTGATGATGAGTCCAGGCACCTCTTGGCCCAGTGCCATCTATTGCAACATCAATGACAGAATCTGGAGTCATCCATTTCAGGAAAATGAGGAAGAGAAAGTTGAGAACAGCCAATAAAGCAAAAATATAGCCTGTTATTGGGCCACAGTGAGAGATGAGTCTGTCCAGTCGTTTCTCCATTGGCAACACAGCTTCCAGAGACACCCGGTCATACACCTGGCAGGAGAGAAGCCAAGAATGAGCACTCTGACCCATCACCCACCCCGTGCCAAACAATGACCCACTCTTGCAGGAACGTTTTAGAAATACTTGCAAACAGAAATCGTTCACATTTTGTTGTTACAGTAATGATGTCCTGAACAAACTCAATCACAATAATTACTGCCAGTGTCTTCAACCTTAATGGGCACTTGTCCTGGGCAAAAGGCAGCTAGACCGTGTGATAGAAAGAATAATCCACAGTTCCTCTCCCTTAGGTGACCACCATCGATTTTCACCTAGAATTCCAAGGTCCTGAAACGTCTAGACAGCTTTTCAGGTCACCACAGTAGGGGTGGTATTTAATTCAGCAGTGCTGAGGCAGGATTGGCCTTTGAATATTCCTTGACTCAGCTAAGACAGCTCTCACTGGCTCCTGGTAGGCATCAACCACAATCAGAGAACTACAATCTAGGGTGCTGCTAGATACACAGAGGCTCTTTCAGCAGTGCATGAAGCCACTGATGCAGTGAGCAGATACAGAAACATTTCATGGATCTGTAGAGGGGAAATTTCAGAGGGGAACTTCAGAAGGGAAATTTTAGTAGATGCTATAGCTCAAACACTGGCAAATGAAATTAAGTTCATTGCTGAGAACTGTTAGTAGGTGACCTGCTTTTTAAAAAAACTACTAAGCACCAAACTCTAAAAATACTAACAAAGATCTTTAGACATATTTATTTAGAACACATCAAATGGGCCAGCCTTCTTTGTTTTAATTGCATTTGAGCATTGCTTGTGCTCAGTCTCACATATCAGACCTATAATAGTCTCCTTTGGAATTCAAGAAAGTTCTAACATGCAGTGCAAGTTCTACACGTCAAAAACCTTTGAAAAGTACAGTATATTTACATCCAGCTCTTTTATCCTGAGAACATTTTGAATACAAATGTGTTAATCAGAATTATGTTGAGAATTATACTAAGACTGGTGAACTGTAACTGAAAAGGAATGTTTACAGCATGAGCGCCAATTTAATTTCATAATCAATTTTCTAGATAGCACAACTAAACTAAGAGGAAGAAGTTGAAAAAGAACGAAATGTCCTCAGGTTAAAAGAGCAACTCCAAACTCATCTGTCTGTCCATCTTTATTTCGGGTCAATTACTTCAATTACTTTATTTATGATCTTAAGTGATAAAGTAACAATTTCCTCCTAATGACAATTCATTATAGACAAGGATTTACATTTTTCTAAATGTATACTATAAATACCCAGAGTACAAAATAGAAAAAAAATAGATGTTTTACTATTATTTTAAACATAACTAAAAGAAAGTATGTAGTTACAAAAAAAAAAAAAAAAAACCCAACTAGCTCCTTTAACAAACTGTCACATTTTTGCCCTCTGAATTTGTGACCTATAATGGCTCAGACTTCTGAGGTTTATATGCTGTCAATAAAGAAGATCAAAGTCACAACATCCAGAGCTTCTGGTTTCCCAGCAGACTGGTATCATCAAAAAGCCCTGTCTAACCAGATATCCCCACCAACCACACCCCAAATTTCACTTCTGGCACTCAAGAATCACATAAGAATCCAGGGAGTGGTTGGGGAGGTCAGGAAGACATGATGATGGAGTGTACAGAGTCTGAAAAGGATACCCAGGTGACACTGACATGCACTTCCAACAGGTAATCAGTGCTATACTCCAATTTCCAAAGAAAAAGGCAGCCATTTCACATGGGTGGAGATAGTACCAGATTTTTAAAAAGTAAGGATAACTCAGAAATACTTCAGTCAAAAATGCTAATTTCACTGGCTGGGCATGGTAGCTCATGCTTGTAAACCTAGCCCTCTGGGAGGCTGAGGTAGATGGATTGCTTGAGCTCAGGAGTTCAAGACCAGCCTGAGCAAGAACAAGACCCAGTCTCTACTAAAAACAGAAAAAACTAGCCACATATTGTGGCAGGTGCTTATAGTGCCAGCAACTCGGGAGGCTGAAGCAGGAGGATCTCTTGAGCCCAAGAGTTTGAGGTTGCTGTGAACTATGACACCACAGCACTCTATCCAGGGTGACAGAGTAAGACTGTCTCAAAAAAAAAAAAATGTTGGTTTCAAATATCTTATATTTCAATGGAATATATACATAGCAATTTTTAGACATAGGGCTTTTGTGAACTCATATTCAAATATGGGTTCACCTTATATACTGGCATTTACAATTGAAGCCAAATAAAAACAGTAAAGAGCTATTCTCACCTCGGCTCCAATTTGCTATCTACTCCAGGCTAAAAACTCTGGATACACTGCTAGTATAAAGCATAACTCTAAACCACTACCTTCTCCACGCGCCACTGGCTGTCTTTCTGGTTCACAATTTCTACATTCTAAGAACCCAAGTTGTTTCTGTTCAGCTTGTTAGATGGAAATGAGAGGCATGAGGCAGAGAAAGTCATGAGAAGGACATAGAGGACGAAACTGAGTAGAATAAATGAAGTCCCTAACTCAAAGTCAGGAACCATTTCCCACAACTGTACTTCCTACCTCAGGGTGTTAATCTATTTCCTGTTCCTGTCCTTTTGGAAATTCTCCATTGCTGCTTTTTATCTGTGATCATTTTTCCAACTTTTATCACGTACATTTTGAATTCTAACTTATGTTCTCAATCAGCCCAAAGATGCAAAAATCCTTTTCCTGAAGAAAATCACAGTAGTTAGCAAAAGTGCCGCAAAGGTTTAGGAAGTAGCCTGAATTAAATATTCACAAGTTATAAAGTTGCCATAATTGGCAAAACCATATATTTCCTATGCTTTAGAATTACAAACAGCCTCAAGAAAATATTTAAGAGTAGATTGTATTACTACTTTTGTCTCCAATCACTGATAACGTCTAGAAAATTGTGTAACTTTTATACCAAGTTTGCTGAGGGGGCTAGACTGTATTACTGCTATTTTCAGATAGCAAATGCAATTTCACTAGACACTCAGCCCAGCGTGTGTACCAAAAGTAATGCATAGGTTGTTTCTTTTCATTTGGAAGTGATTTCATAAACTTAAGCAATAGAACAGAAATGGTAAACCTGTACACAAGAAAAAGCAAACGTGTACACGAAACCTCACGTGAGAGTTCAGACCCCATCTTCTCGCAGCACATGACATACTTTTTCAGTTCTTTCCGCAACATTCCTCCAGGTGTAGAAAGTCTTTACTACGTTATGAATATTTTCTGGAGCTGGCAATGCCCCCGACTTCAGTCGAAAAATAGCTCTTTCCAACCCTTCACACAAAGATTTTACTGAAGGCTCACATAAAATAATAAGATTTTCTGGAAGCACCTCAGGAATTCCACCGACCTTGGTACTTACAACCTTAAAAAGAAAGAAAGAACACATGTTCCTACCATGATCATACGTCAGGAAGATACACAAAACCAAGCTACAAAATTATTATGGAATGTGTCTCATGATTTTTCAAAATACAAACACCGAAACCCCAACAATATATACCTTCAAAGCTTTTTACCTGTAAACCACAACTGGCTGCTTCCACGATCGCCATGCAGAATGCTTCGGTAAGGGAGGTATTAAGAAAAATATGTCCTTGAACTAAGACATTTCTAACATCCTTGTGTTCTAAAGCTCCCAAAAGACGCACCCTGATTTTTTTAAATGAGAGGGAAAGAAAAAAGGGAGTGAAAAATCATACTACAAAAAAAATAAATTTATAAGCCAAGTCTTTTATTTATATTACACTTAGATTCCTACTGGTGCTAATGTTTTCCACCTCAAAAAATGAGTATCATGAAACTGATCTAACAGGAACAGCCTTTTAAAGCTATTGGGTTGGAACTCATACAGTTAACATATTTCTAACTTTTGTCACACATATCAAATTTCATCTTTTCCAAAACTAGTTTGCATGTAATGAAAATATGAATATATTTTGATGATTAAACATTAGACTCTAATTTCTCTAAAATTGATGCTTCAGGCATACACACCTCATGTGTTATGTAGTAACTGAGGATGAGACCCGTCCAAATCTGTATGTACAGGGCAATTTACATGATTTGAGCCATGCTATTTAAATCACAACACACAGTACGGCTTGGAAATCTGCAATGTTTCCAATCAAACAGTTGATTTTTTGTGGATTACATGGTGCCTCCAACAACTGTCCCCAAAAGTCAAATAATATTGGGCTAATGGAAAAAAATAAAATTGTGGATTTTTTTTTTTTTAGGGACAGAGTCTGGTGTGGCGCCTGTGGCTCAAAGGAGAAGGGCGCCGGCCCCATATACTGGAGGTGGCGGGTTCAAACCCGGCCCTGGCCAAAAACTGCAAAAAAAAGAGAGAAACAGAGTCTTACTCTGTCACTATAGGTAGAGTGCTGTAGTGTCACAGCTCACAGAAACCTCAAACTCTTCGGCTCAAGAGATCTCTTGCCTCTGCCTCCAGAGTAGCTAGGACTATAGGAGCCTGCCACAACACCCGGCTATTTTTTAATTTTTTTTTTTTTAAGTAAAGATGGGGTCTTGCTTTTTCTCAGGCTGGTCTCGAACTCCCAAGCTCAAGTGATCCACCCATCTCAGCCTCCCAGAGTGCTAGGATTACAAGCATGAGCCACCACGCTCAGCTTAAAATTCTGTATTCTTGAACTAGGTTTCCTATTTCATATAAATTTCTTTAAAAGTGGGTCTTGCATTATATTTTTATATCGATTACATGCAGGAGAAGCAGCATACCTAAGGCAGGCATGCAGTCAAAATCAAATATAGATAATATTTTCCCACTAAAGACAATATAGAATCCATCAGTACCTGTCATGTAGCTGGTATCTTTCCCGAACTTCTTCCAAAATGATTCTCTTTGGTCCCTCTCCTCCAATTAGGAAATTTAAATTTGGATATTTCTGACAGAGTTCAGGTATGATACCACTGAGCAAATCGGTTCCTGAAAATATAAAGTTGAATGTTGGAGATAATTTGTATTTCAACTTAAAAACAAATTCGTTGGAACTGAAAATCCACTCACTTTGGAATAAAAGTAGAGAAATCAAAGTCTTACACCTTTCCCAGGAGGGGAGAATTGTTCACAAACTGCCAGTGTCCCCCACCAGTTGCAGTTCTTGAAGAGACAGAACTTGACGTGCACTGTTACTTCCACGCACGGCAAACAGGAACTATTTTGCTCCATTTCCACACTCACTCTGTTACTCACTTGTGTATACGCATTGCCTACTGCTATACAAAAGGTCTTTCTGGTGGCTAAGGTTTTAGTGAGCTTTCTCTAGAGCAGGCAGCTGACTGGAGATCTTGGTATCCATCCAGCTTTTCTACAAATGAGCCCTTTGATCATGGGAAGTTTCCTGACCTGCAAAATGAAGAGACCTATGTACCTAAAGTATCTTTCAGCTGAAAATGCTATCAGTCTATCTGACTCTACCTCCTGCCACAGGAAAGAGTTAAGCAACAAAGTCTGTTGCCTCCTCTTTATTCAAAATTCAGTTTGTACAGAGAATTTTACAGTGAACACTATGGTGTTAGCAAAATTTAAAATAATAATCTATGCAAACATGCTATCGACCCCTTTCCTGGAATGGGGGTAAGGTAGAAGGACCTCAACTGTCAGATCATCATAGTCCATGGAATGAACGGATGCATCTTGGTTTCTTTTTTCAAAAATAACTTTCTTACAATATGCAAATGCAGTCTCAGGTAATATTAAGCAATAAAGTAAATCATGCTCTACTAGTCTGAAAAAGTTGTGGCTATCCAAAGTGATGGCAATGTTGATGCTATCTGGGAATCTGCTTCATTAACAATTCAAATCATGCGCATTCAAAAGTAAAAGTAAACACAAAATAATCCACTTAGAGCTAAGTTTATTAATGTAAAAAATATGTACACACACAAGAACTGAATTTCGTACATCAGTCTTCCCCCAAGTAGGCAGATTAATTATAAAATAGATAGTGGGAAAGAAAAATTATATATATATATAGGGTCATTTTTATTAAACAATGCAAAGCAGGAATCATTAAGTAAACTCTGCTGGTATTTTCAAGATATGTTTGCATGCATCAAAAATAAATTTACATTGTTTTTCTGAATTATAAAGGCTTCTCATTAAAACCTTAGCTATCTTTGTTCCAAGTCTATTACTAAATTCATTGATTGAATTTCTAGATAAACCAGAAGGTAAGTTAATGACATAACATTTAGCCACCTACAATTCCTTCCTTTCATTTTCTTTCTCCTCTTTCTCTCCTCTCTCACACATGCTTAAGAGCCTAATCTTCACACAAAAAAATATTAACACAGGCAAACAATCATAACTGCTGAAAACAGCTACCTTAACTGAATGCCTACTATGTCAGGCAACATATTTTAAATGCATTATGTCATTGAATCCTGACAAGCACCTTCTAAGAACTAGAACTGATTAATATTATCAATGGTCTACAGTTTTATTCTTTTTTTTTTTTTTTGAGGCAAAGTCTCACTCAGTTGCCCTGGGGTTGAGTGCCGTGGCATCACAGCTCACAGCAACCTCAAACTCTCGTGCTCGAGCAATTCTCTTGCCTCAACCTCTCAAGTAGCTGGGACAACAGGTGCCCAGCTATTTTTAGAGATGGGGGTCTTGCTCTGGCTCAGGCTGGTCTCAAACCTGTGAGCTCAAGCAATCCTCATGCCTCGGCCTCCCACAGTGCTAGGATTTCAGGCGTGAGCCACTGCACTGAGCACAGGCCTACAGTTTTATTCTAAGAATAAAAGGTTTTGTCTCCATTATAAAAAATTATCCAGGTACCTCTAAGAGTGTAGCACAGTGGAACATACAGAGACTTTCGATCGCTGTATCCCACAAAATAGGCAACAGAATTTCCTAATGCAAACTTTCTAACAACATTTAAATGAAACTTCTGATCTATATATCTAGGATAACAGTGGTTAGACAGGCAGAGGCAGAGGAACAGGAGACCTTAACTCAAGAAGAGCAGGACTCATGTTTATCATCTCTGTTACTTACTGTGCAACCTGGGTGAGTTACTTACCCTCTCTGAGACTCAGTTTCTTTTTTACAAGTAGACAACATCTACCCTACAGCTGTTGGGAGGGTCAAGTGAGGTACTGTACCATACACAGGTTTTTCAACTGCAGAATACAAACTGAGTTGTCATCACTGCAGCAGGAGGCAGAACATGCCTGCACAGGCACAGAGCATTGGCAAACTCTGACTGGGAGCAAAACAGGCTGGAGAGAAGGTGGCTTAGGAAGAAGCCAGGTAAAAAATCTGGGCAAGGAGAATTTTGATCTATCCTCTCTCACACATAAAACGGTCCAGTGGGCCTTTGACATCTGGTCCAACAAACACCTCCTGAGGATACTAATTTGTAAATAAATAATGGACCATTAATCCAGCTACTCGCTTTGGGCTATGGACATGGCCATTCTTTCTCAGAATGTTATTTTGGGGAGAGAGTTAAACAAATTATCTATTGAGTTACTGAATGGAAAACAGGAAAGGCCATACCTTCGCTCCACTGGTGATTAGTTCAGCTGCATAAATTCCACATTAGTGAAGTAAAGGTAACAGGTTTAATCTTTGTATATGAGTAGGTAATTTTGCTGATCTTCAATCACACGTGCATCATACCCGTTCTTAGCTAGCTGTCTCACAGGCACGTTATTTGATCAAAAAAAAAAAATTAGGCACATTTTCTAAGTGACAACAAACGTATCACCAGTGTCCCAAGAGGGATTCAGAACACAGAATGCTGGTCCATTCCCATCTCCTTAATTAAAGACTGAGACCACATCATTGCCTTCACCTTGGAAAATGCAGTTTTCTCACTCATCTCCACTTAAAATACTAGATCGACCAAGCCTCTCCATCCCAAACGTATGCTGTCCAAGGCCCACGTCTAGACTTTAGGCCACTCCCTAATACATCAGTACACTGCAGAGCTTCACCCTTACCAACAATCACTTGCATTTGTTCACCAATCTGTTTGATTCCGGCTATACTGGGTAATTTAATGAAATGATGCATAAACTGGTAAGATGAGTTTCTACGAAAACCAAGCGGAACAGTTTGAAAACTCCAACAAAGGAAAGTCACTGGAAAGGTTCTTAGCCGATTAGGAGGTGTCCACTGTACAAAACTGAAGATGAAACTTCAGAAGCACATTGCTTCACACACCTTTAGGTTCTCATCGCACTTAAAAGAAACCCGCAGTGACAACAGTGGATTCTGCTTTGCGAAAGCCATCATGCAAGAGGATGCAGCTGAAATCAGCGGACCAGTACTTAAAGCCTACGCCAAACTACTGACGACTTAGTGTATTAACATTTTGAGTTAAATTCAAATATTTAAGGGGGGGTATATATTATTTTTTAGTGATTCCCTACATTAAATGGAATTTTTGATTACTGAACAGCTTGTCAAATAGCAGCTAGAAGACAATTTTGTTTCTAAGAAGCAAACTATTTCAGACTTTTAGTCAACAAGCCTCCACAAATTCCACTGCAGTGTCCACTAAGTACTGCAGAGACTAAAAACCTCCTCCTTGAAAACAGTGGACGCCTACCAGATACACACTGGGCTATCAGCTTATAGGAACTATCACCGAACCCTCAGGAGGTTCCCATTATCATCTGAATTATACAAATGAAAAACTGAGACTTAGAGACTTTAAGTAACTAGTCCTTGATCATACGAGACAGAGCAACAATGTGGCCCTAGGCCATCTAATCCCCTTTTCTTCATCACTTACCTGCCAATATGTTATTAATTTCTTATAAATGATAAAACGAAGCAAGCAAGGAACAAAACAGTTAAAGTACAGAACAAGCCCACTGATTTGCAGTATAGGCACGTATGCATGAAGACAGGAACGCTACTAATCAAAACATTCATTAGGGACATCTCTGAATATAGTTACAGCTGACTTTAGTTTTCATCCTTGAGCTTTTCTTAGTTTTCAAAGTATCTGCAATGAAAAAACATTACTTTTGCAACCAGAAAGAAAAGGCCATGTGGTGGGCTCTGCCCTTTCCTTCTTAGCACATGTACAGGGTTGTTTTAATTTTTTAAAGCACCTGATCAGTTACACAGCATCAGGTTACTTTTACTATTTAGTAACCACTAAAACATCAAAGGTTGGGGGCAGCATTCGCCACAATCCTACACATTTCTCACCCAATATAAGCCAATATTAGAACTTTCTTTGCTATATTTAATGCAGTAGTTATTAAACCATAAACAAAGCGAAAAGCCAAACAATCATTATATACATGTATTCAACAGCTTTCTACAGTGAAAAAAATCTGCAATGCAATTATAGCTATCATTTCATTACCTTTTCTGTAAACAAGTCTGCTGACAACAACAATAGTTATTACACTATCATGCCTTCTAAATGGGTCTGGAGTGAAGTCAGTAGGATCTACAGCATTGGGAATGACGGACACTATTTCAGGATTCAGTGCTGCTCTTAATACAGTATTTTCCTTACTAGTATAAGAGACACAAATGATGTGGTTTGTGTCACAAAGAGACACAGTTAGAAGCTTGTTTGTAAGCACCGAGCTGACATCAGCGAATCCAAAAAGGGAATGGTCCGTGAAGACTGTCTGAAGCCCCATTGTCTTGGCGTGGAAGAGAGCATCATGGGCCATGGCAGAAAAAGAACTATGTGAATGGATTATCGTGACTCTCTCCCGAACAAATATGTACCTGAGCAATGGTAGACTGTGAAAGAGGGTCGTGGCTGTAGACTGGTTGTACATGACCTTCAGAGGCAAGTAATAGACTTTGAGGCCATTAGTGAGGTAACGGACGCCTTTTCGAGTTCCATAAGCATGGGTGATAATTATAACCTTATGCCCTCTTTCAATCAGGCACTGAGAGAGCTGGTAAATGTGGCTTTCCACACCTCCCATATTTGGGTAGAAAAAGTCAGATACCATGCATATATTATGGGTGCGTGTTCTAAATGTGGAAAGACCTCCAGGGCTAACCCGAGGGAATGTAGCTGACAGAGGCTGGCCGGGCCCATCTCCTCCTCTATAGGCCATGCTGAGATGATTTAGGCATCAGTTCTTAGAGCAACTCAGTTTTAAGATGTGTCCTCTATTACCTGAAACAGAAAGTAAAACAGGATCTCAGCTCAGAGACAAAACACAGTCCATATTCCACATCCAGATACTAATATAAATGCCATTTCACTGTTGATGTCAATTTGCTACCTTTTCCCTCAGAAATAAAAACAAAATATATAATGAGTTTGACAACATTTACTCGCTTAGCGTTTACAACGTGCCATGTAATAAAACCTGATTCTACAACGTCTTAATTTTGCTCTAAAAAGTACCTCTACACACAAATTTTAATACTAAGTTTATTACACCACAGTATATGATGGTTTGTCATGCTAACAAACTAGTCCTTTCCAATAATTAGAGACATACACATGTATCCACACATATGTCTCCTCTCACTTGTATGACTTTCCCAGCTTCTACTTATGAAATGACTACTAAAAATCAGTCACTACGTGCTGAGTTTCTGGATCTCATGGCAGCCTCACCAAAACCCTACAGTTCCATCTAATAAATGGAAAGTAAAGCTTAAAGAGGTTACAGAATTTGTCCACAATTAACGTGGCTACTCCAAGGTAGCACAGTGTGGCACTCTGATTCATTGGTAGCCATGCCTCCTACTCTTAGATTTGGACCCAGTTTAACCCATAGGTCGGGGTGGAAATGATGTGCAAATTTTTGGCCTTAGACTGAAAAAGGTGCCGTGTCCCCACTTCTGCACTATTGGATATTCTACCAGGGGTGTCCAACAATTTTTCTTCTCTGCTGCACTGCACATACAAAGAAGAGTTCTCTTGGACCGCACATTAAATACACAAATACTAACAAAAGCTGATGAGCAACCCCCCCCCCCAAAAAAAAAGGTCTGTGCATAATTTTCGCAATATGTGACAACACAGATAAGCAAAACAGTCTTCAAATAATCTGTATGTGGCCATGGGCTGCAGGCTGGACATCCCCTGTGTCCTAAGCCAACATGTAAGAAGCCCAGGTACTGTGCTAGAGAGCCAGTGGGAGAGACAATACGGAGAGCCAGCTATACCCATGTTCTCGGCTGGGCCCCATCTCTAGCCAACTTGCCTGCTAAATGCAGCATTCCTAGTGACCACTGGCAAGACCAGCAGAAACACTCAGCTGAGCCCAGCTGATGACAGAATCATGAAAAATAACATCCATGAAATGATTAATGGCTGTTATTTCACGCCACTAAGTTTTGCAGTGGTTTGTTACACAATAACAGACAACTAAAACAGGCCCAGATTCAAACTTCAGTCATACTGGTCCACTTCTTGTTTTTGTAAATAACAGTTTTTATAGGAATACAGGTTTGCCCATTTATTTATGTGAATGGCTACTTTTGTGCTGCTACAGCACAGCAGCTATGACAGAGACCATATGACTCAGAGTCCAAATTATTTACTATCTAGCCCTTTACACAGCATTTGGCAAGCCCTGCTCTAGACCTTAGTCACTCATTTGATTAATCTCATAAAGTCTGCTAGTATTAACTTTATGGTTTACACTAAAATATACCTGGAGCTAGAACTCTTTTTGAGAGCACATTTTTTTTTTTTTTTGAGACAGAGCCTCAAGCTGTCGCCCTGGGTAGAGTGCCGTGGCATCACAGCTCACAGCAACCTCCAACTCCTGGGCTCAAGCGATTCTCCTGCCTCTGCCTCCCAGGTAGCTGGGACCACAGGCGCCTGCCACAATGCCCGGTTGCAGCCGTCATTGTTGCTTGGTGGGCCCGGGCTAGATTCGAACCTGCCAGGAGAGCACATTTTTCAAATGTCACCCAGAGCACATGCGGTGGACAATTCACATTTTCTCCTTCCATATTATTCTAAGATAGTGATAATCTAAATGCTCCCTTTACTTTTTTCTTAACTGTTCTCTCAGTTACAAGGGTCTTTCTTCCCTGAGTGCCCCTCCCTTCAATGTGCAGTCTGAAAAGTTGAACTAGATATACACCGTATCTGGGACCACTTTAGACATCTACAGTGGGTAATGTTTATCTTAGGGGTCCCCTAAAGCCATATCAACATGAATGCCACTCAGTATTTAGCACTATTATAGATTCTTGGACTTCTAAAGCTAAAAAGAGTTGAAGATCTAGTGAAAAAAATCTTCCTCAGCTTTACAAATGAGAATTCCAAGGTTCTAGAAATTCAACTACACAATGGGAAACCACCCTAAAGCTGTAAGTTTCAGATTTTACCTGTAAACTCAGAAAATGCAAATTAACGGCATGTGCAAAGTCTTAACTATTCTCTTCAAAGAATTAATCTACATTTTAAGTATATTCTCAGAAAGAATCCATAAGTGTTTACTGAACTGAATTCACTAATTAAGATTCAAGATTAGAAAATATTGAAATTTCTCAAGTTTGTACTTTTAGGTGGCTTAACTAACATTTTCATACTATGGTGTCACCTAAACTAGAACTTCCAGTTCTCTACAGCTTGAATGATAACAAGAACAGTGAGCAATGAAGCAAATGAAATCATTTAAAATTTTGTCATTAATCTGCAATGTTCTGTGATGAGTCGACTCACTTCTACCAGGTTATCACTCCTAAAATCTTTATTATGTAAAAGATCAATATACCATACAATTGCAGAATCTTGAACTTCAAAACCGAAGAGGAGCTTGGAGATCCAGTGAATACTCATTTTACAAATGAGTTGTCAGACAAATTGAGCGATTAGTCCAAGGTCCCCACCCAGACACTTTCAGTGGCAAACGCGACATGACCACAAAATTCTCAACCATGGCCAATGAGTCTCCGGCAATTATTAGCAGTAGAGGCTCTTGAAGAGCCTTAGGAAGATCTGGCAGGGGTTGTAGGGTCAAGAGGCTGATACTTCCACCGAATCCCTGGACACTGCCCGAGCTTCACTCTCTGAGGTCGCTGGGGAACTCTAGGGCCACGGAGGGGATGACTCCGCTCAGTCAGCGACCCCACTGGAGTCAGGCAGAGTCTGGCCAGGCCCAAAAGGAAGAGGAAAACGGCCAGAGAGTGTATGGCGGTATGAGACCCAGTGTCCCGGAGCCTCCAGTCTCCCGCCCCACCCGCCGCAGCCGAGGAACCGGTTCCAGCGCGGCCGCCCTCAACTCACCCTTCGCCCCGCTCTACTCCAGAGACCCTCCGACCCGACTTCCGGGCTTCTAGCCGGGTCTGCTTCACCCCCTCCATCGCCCGCCACGCTCCCACGGGGACAGATCAACCATATCCGGAAGCGGCCGAGAGTGCAGAAGACCAGAAGCCAGACGCGCACTTACCGGCTAGTCCCATGGCCGCCTGTGTCCGGACCTCCCGCGGCTGCAGCCGGAGGTCCTCCCCCACATCCCGAAGCACCAATCAGGGGCGGCCGCGCCCGAGGGCCGCGCCCCCAAGCTAGCCAATCACAAAGAAGCGCTGGGGTCACGTCCGAGAGCGACGCTCAGTCGACCCACCCTTTAAACGTGGGCTGTAACGTCAGCGCGTGCTTGCGCCTGCCTCTGGCTCCTGGGTGCTGGAGTCTGTAGGGTGGATTCTAGCGCTGGTTGCCTAGTTACAGCGTCTCCTTTCTGGAATGCTGTTCTCTTTCTGCTTGCCTCGGATTGGAGAGACTTTGGGGGGAGAAGGTTGCAGTAAGCCATGGTCCTAGTGCAGTTTTGTTTGTGGTCATTTGTGCCACAGCAGAACCGTGCTGGTTCCTGACATCCTGGTAAGGTTGCCAGATGTGGCAAATAAAAATACACAAACAAAGTCAAAGCAAATAAAAATATGAATTTTGAATTTCAGATAAACAACAAGAAATTTCTAGTGTATGTCTCAAATATTGGGGACTTCAATAAATTGTTATTTAACTGAAATTCACACTTAGCTAGACGTCTCAGATTTTATCTGGCAACCCTATACTGTAGGAGAAAAAAAATCTAAGATCTGATCTGAAATACCAAGTCCTATTCAGACTGGTTCAACAAGCTGTGGTGGTGTGTTTGGCCAACCAGCTAATGAAACGGAGCGTATGTTGATCATCCATGTGTCACACTTGGTACTTGGTCCCCTAGCCATGCCACCCATGCATTTTCGAGAACAGATTACTTTCTGACTGCTATCAGCCTGAGGTAAGCTTATTCATCCATAAAAATTTCAGCTCCTTTCTGATGCCTTTCCACAGCCTCCAGAGAGAATTTAATAATTCCACTTTTATATTTTGATAATACTTTGGCCATAGGTTGGTATAGCATTTATCAAGTAATATTCAAGTCGTTTGACTGTGGTCCACTTTCCTCACCTTGATCCTTGATGACTTTTGTCTTCTTAGGGTCCTTGATGACTTTTGTCTTCTTATGGACTTCTTTCTGAAAACTGGTAATTGTATTTGCTTATTAAATGTCTTCCCCACTAGATAGTAAGCTGAGGCAGGGTCTGTTCTTGGTAATAGACACTGAATAAGTTTGAGTTAAAGTAAGTAAATTTCTTTACCCAATGCCAGTATACTTACTCCCTGACACAGATACTCAATAAAATGTGTTGAAATAATTTAATGGCATATACCTTATAAAAATTGACAGTGCAGTGACATAATTCAAAGAGCATGTTGGTTGTGGGATTAAAGTTAACTCATTAATAAATGAGTTAAGGCTCAAGTAACAACAGATACTCCGCCCTGTGTTAATATTGACAAAGCATCAGAGAATAATGGTGATTCAGATTGGAAAAACTTAAGTTTAATAATTTGTATTTGATTTCACAGATAACAGCAACACTACCAGATAGGTACAGCATTGATTTTCTCAACTTTTCATTTTTCTAATAGTTTTTAAAATGAAGAGTCATGGTAGAAATCCCGAAAGGTATAAATGAGGGTTAAGCCTCATTTACTGAGCCCCTAGTTTACCCCCTGCCATAGTTCTGATCGCAATACACATTTGAAATTCTACTATGAATCGTCTAAGATCCAGATAGTAATACTTCTTCAAAAGAGTGATCTTTTAGGGATCATTTTTCAAAACAGAAAAAATATTTCATATTTTTTTATTATCAAATATTTACTGAGTGCTTGCATTGTAAAAAGGCTTTATAGGGAGTACAAGGAATATTAAACATAATAGTCCCTGTGTTTTAAGAGCTTTTTGTCTCTCCTAGGTTTTCCTATATATTTTACTAATGGTAAAAAGAAATCCACTTTTCTTAAAAGATTCTTTGTGTTACAAATATAGACTAGGCTGACCTTTATAAAGAGATATTAATAGAGGCACACTGTCGCTGAGCCTCTGAGGAGCCTGCAGGCTATTCCAACAAAGTCTGATAACATTCAAAGTTCATGTTCCAGCCTGTGTCCCAAGCACTGAACATCAAGAGGTAAATAAGTCATAACTCTGTCCCTCAAGTGTTCACAATCTCACATCAGCACATGACTTTTTTTTATAGTCAGTTAAAGATTAAGCAAAAGTCTCCAGTTAAAGCTATTTTCTAAAAGTCAAAGTTGTAGCAGGATTAAGA